CACACATTACCATCTGCCACGAAAAGAAACCTCAACCACGGTAGAAAAGGTAGAAAAGACAAACAGCATAACAATATTGATTAGGGCCCAACCCAAGGAGCAGTGAAGGAAAATTACGGGCCACCTTAAATTTTCCACTCCTGTATGAGGGAGAAAATAAATAATAATTTTAATTTAATTGAACCGTCTGAAAATTTATTATTTTTTAATAGAAAATAAGGGGTATTCTCGTTCATATATTTTTTATGGATCATTTTGGCGACATGGCCGAGTGTTGTACTACGCTGATTACTTAAATATACATGGCGATGTTATCAAAAAAAAAAAAATATATATATATATATACATGCCGATGTTATTCAAAAAAAAATTTAAAAAAAGAATCAGCCAACAGACGTATATAACAATTTGTCTCAGTGTCTTGGGGAGAAAAATCTCAACCACTTGCTTTTTTTCTAATTTTACAATCTCAGCTTCAGATGGCAACATGTCAGTAATTAAAAATTGAGCATTTGATATACCTCCCAACAATATAATATTGGGTGTTTAGATATTTTACCCTTCATCTCCAAGCCAAACGCGTCTTTAAACTTTCAGATTCAACTAATGCCATGAATTCATATTGTGCAAACTGTGTGTACAATTCATTCCATGATTACGATATCATATGAATTATTTGACCACTCACTACTAGAAAAGTCTAAATTTTTGACGAAAATTTTGTCGAAAAATATTTCGTCAAAATTAAAGAAGAAAATTTCAACGAAAATACGTATTCCGTAGAAGTTTTCGACGGAAATATTATTCCGTCAAATTTTTTTGACGGAATTCACTTTCCGTCAAAAAATTTTGACACAAAATTAATTCCGACGAAAACTATTATAAAAAATAAATCAAAAAGGAAATATATTTATGAATATTTCGACGGAATTCACTTTTTGTCTAAAAGTTTCGACAGGAAATTAATTCTGTTGAAAACTATTATAAAAAATAAATACGAAAGAAATAATATTTATGAATTTTTTGACAAAATTCAATTTTCGTCGAAATTTTTTGACGAGAAATGAATTCCGTCGAAAACAATTAAAAATAAATAAATAAATAAAATTATATTTATGAATTTTTCGACGAAAATAAGATTCCGTCGAAAATCCATATATAATAATAAATAAATAAATAATTATATTTACGAATCTTTCGAAGGAATTAAGATTTCGTCAAAAATTTTTGACGAAAAATGAATTCCGTCAAAAACTATTATAAATAAATAAATCAAAAAAATTGTATTTATGAATTTTTCAACGAAAATAATATTCCGTCGAAAACCATAAATATAAAAATAAATCAAAAATAAATTATATTTATGAATTTTTCGACGAAATAAAGATTCCGTCGAAAATCATTAGGAATAAATAAATTAAAAAGAAATTATATTTATGAATTTTTCGACGCAATTAAGATTCCGTGAAAAATTTTCAACGAAAAACTAATCTCGTCGAAAACTATTATAAATAAATAAAAAATTAATTTCTGAATTTTTTGACGAAATTAAGATTTTGTCAAAAAAATTTGACGAAAAATAAATTCCGTCGAAAAACCACTAGGTGACATGAATGATTGTGATATGAGCCAAGCTGGATGCCAAACTCGCCACCAAAGCTGACGGGTGTAGGAGATGTTAGCATTCATCGCGAGAAGCTTCTGAACTCGTCAATGGAGTTGACGCGATTAGGCCACCCAACCTAGGTGGCATGCAGACATGTCACACCTGGTAACGGCACTGAACTCCTCAATCAACATGACGTCTTTAACTGCTTTACAACGAGCAAACTTTTCAAATATGTCTTCGATAAGAGATATATATTTTTATTTTTTTTTTGCATTTCATGAAAATTGAACACACACCCCTACATTACATACACCTAACTCACACACCCCACACCACTAGGCTAATCCTAGTGGATAGAGATACATGTCATAATTCATAGTGGTACGATCGTTTTGCCTAGAGTGTCATATAAATCATAATAGTTATTAACTCTAGCAAATAATAAATGAAAAGTTTGTATTTTATAATGAATGGTCAAACAACGTAGTATTTATTCCTCCGATTTAAATGTCACACAAAAACACAAAATTCAAGCTAATAAAGAATCCATTGAAATTAAGATGTTTTATTCCATATTTAAATTTTTGATTGAATACTATTGGATTTTAATATCCTATTAAAATTTTAATTATCTTGATTGAATATCACATTACTTTTTTAAATTATTTAAAAAATTTAATTGAATTCCGATAAATTTTGTTTAAAAAACAATTCTTTAAAATCTTAATTTAATACAACCCTAAATTGTCTAACAGTACATTATATTTATTTTTTTCATAGCTATGCTAATGATATTGAATCACAATAGTCTCGCCCAAAACACGGATGCAAAATGATTTTTTTTTTTTAAAAAAAAATTGTTTTAAATATAAAATTTGAAAATTGATTTAAGAGTAGAAAAACAATGACACTTATTTGAATAGGTTAGATTTAAAGTTATAAAGAAGTTATATTTGTTTTAAAAAAAACTATTAATGAACTTTTATAGTTACAAGATTGCCACCATAAAATAATTTAAAATTAAAAAGAAGTTGAATTTATTTATACAAGTGCTATTAAATGTAAGACAACCCAGGGAACTCAAAAGTTGTTTTAGGGTTTTTTTATTTTTGCGGTAATAATTTTATAAATATGAAAATTCATTAATGATATTTTTGTAAGTAATTTATTTCTTTAATTTTAAATATCTTTATGATGGTATTTATATAACTTTTTTTTGGTAAAATGTAATTATGAAACTTTATTAATGATATTTTTTTAAATAATTACATTTTTTATAATTTTAAATCTACTTATATTCAAACAAGTTTTAGTATTATTTTACTCTCAAAATTATTTTTTAAAATTAAAATTAAAATCTGTTTTTGAAAAAAAAAAACTGAAACATATTCAAACAAACCCTAATTTTTGAGAATATCTCTAACTTATTCTCCTTCTTTTTAAAAACTGAAAAAAAAAAATTGAGAATCACTTACAAAAAATCATTTTCAAACATTTAAAAAAAATTAAGGGGATGTATTGGATTAGGATTTTAAAAAATTATTTTAAGATAACAAAATCTTATGTATTTTAAAACGAACATTTTTTATTTACCAAAAAAAACACGAACATTTTTCAAAAAACTTTTTTTACAATCAAGATTATATAAAATTTGAAAGGATAATATGGATTTATAAGATTTTAAAAAATCATATGAATTTTTAATAAACATTCAAAATTACAAGAGTCAATAAAAAATAACAAAGAAATGCAATGATATTAATAAAAAAAGTAAAACTTAATATAATTTTATCAATAAGTAATTTGATATAACTTGATGTCATACTAAGCAGTAGCTCTGCACATGTCTATACTAGCTCTCCACGCATTAGTATATCCCTGTTCCTGCTCTTGAGTTTCACCAATGTGTTAAAAATTATATTCTTTATTTGGTATTAGAGCTATGCATATGTGATTATAAGACCAACAATTTTTTTTTTATTAAAATAATTCAAAATTGCATATCAAACCTAAAGTTGATGATAAAATTTTGTTTGGAATTTTTTGCTATTGATCTTGGAAACCTTGGGGTTTTCATTCTATGTGATGAGAGTTTTCTAACCATATATCATATGCTTGTTTTCATTGAGTATTCTAATAAAATTTTGAATCTGAATTTATGGGTTTTATTACATGAAAGTTTAGAAAAAATTTATCAAATTATTTTCAATCGATACATTGAAACCTTAAAATGCTCTCGGGTTTTTGAAAAACAAGTTTTTAGTGATATATTAACACAAAAATTGTTTGAAATCATTTCCTATTGCGAAGAAATTTCATTTACAAATGTACTATGACGAAACATAAGGTTCATATTATGAAAGTTTCAATCTTTCTTTAAATGGATCTCGTTTCATTGATGTAAAACGAAAATTGGTTTGTGGTTTTGTGTTCCCATGTTGTTTTCTCATTGTTTTATGTTTTTTTAATACAAAAATCGCATCTTTTGTGCCAAGAAAAATAGTCACTCGTAGCTTAAAAAATTATTTTTAAACTTCTAAAAACTCTTAGAAATCGCTAAATTTTTTGCTATTTTTTAGATAAATTATATTTGAATTTTGTTGGATTGTTTCTTTTGAGTTACTTTGTAATGAAAATTGCTAAAAAATATGCTATTTTTGAGTTTGACGAAGCTCTTATGGTGAAACCCGGTTTTGAGCGAGTCGATCCCCTAAAGGAAGAAAAAGCACTACAATAGAGGAATCATAGGAGTTAGGGTGAGATTATATGAGAAATATCCTATTTATATTTTCACTAAAAGGTCTCACGAAATCCACACTAATAAAAAATTCACTAACTTTTTTAGATTTTTAAATACTACAAGATTGTTTTTAAATACTACAAGATTGAACCAAATGGTGGTAGCTCAGTTGGCGTATGGGAGCTAAGCAGGTGGGGTGAGAGCATGTGTTCGAATCTCTCTATTACCACCTTTGTGAGGGGTTTAAAGTCTTAATCTTGGATCCGCCCCGAATCGGATTAGTTGCGAAACAATGAACTAATTGAAATATTTTTCAAAAAAAAAATTCTTATTGAATATCACCGGATTTGGATGAACTCTAAAATAATCTTTTAAAATTCTAATCCAATATCACATTATTCTTTTTCATTCATTCAAAATCACAATTGAATACATAATTGAATAGCAATGGATTTTTTTTAAAGAATAATCCAATTAAATTTCTTAAAATCTCAATCTAATACTTAAAAAAAAAAAAAAAATTCTGTTTTTACAAACACAAATTAAAAAGCCCAATAACGACTTAGGAAACGCTTTCCGGGTGAGAGTGAGAGTATTTAGGTATATGCTGTGCCCCAAACCTGCTTCCTCCTAAATAAATACCCCAACCCTACCCCGACTCTTTCTTGAGTTGAAATTTCAACTGCTTCTCATCTTCCCTTGTTCCTTTACACAAGTTCTATTTTCCCCTCTTTTTTATGTGTTCCTTCCTCTTCCTCTTTGTTCAATTGTTGTCTCGTTAGATGGGTGCTGTTGTACTTCACCCTAAAGATTGTCTAAGAAACGAACCATACAGCCAACCCATAATTTATATTCCCCGCAACATGAAGTTTCCCAATTCATGCCCTAAATCTCGTTCGGAACGCCACAAGCGGAGCCATCATCAGAATCCCGCATCCACGTCTGATCCGAAACCCCAAGTCAACCAACTTGTCATGGGACAAGTTAAAATACTCAAACGCGGCCAACAATTGAACGAAACGGCACCCGATCCACAATCGGAGACTCTGGACAACGCGATAACACGCGATTCACAATTAGACACCTTGGAGAACGAGTTAGCACCCGATTCTCAATTGGAGACCTCAGAGAACGAGTTAACGCCCGATTGTTCAAAATTAGAGACCGCGGAGAACGAGTTAGCATCCGATTCTCAATCGGATAACGACTTGTCCTCAACGTTGTCTTTGCCCGGTGGATTGTATGCGGGACCTTCTATGTTTGTGGTTTCGCCCCCTCCCAGTTCCGTTCCTTTGCCAGCTTTCGTCGCTAAGAAGATTGTGGCTTCGAGTGACGCCACTAGAGACCTCCGCAAGATGTTACACCTCGATTTTCCCTAACCTGTTGAAGTCTATGAATGAACGAGAATTTGAACAGTGGTTGTTGGTGATTGGGGCCTTCTGTCCCTCGATCTTCTCTTATTTTTTTCAGCGGGAAGGTCGAGTGCAAATCTCTGATTGTTTAGCACTTTGTTTCAGATGACCGTACACACATGCTTTGTCTGGGATTAGTTTTCTTCCTCTTAGCTAGATCTGTTTGCTATACTATTTAGTTTTTCTTGACTCAAAGGATAGGCTTCTGTATGTCTCTGTAATACTTTCTAAAGTATTTAGGATATAGAAGTGATTCCTTTTACCTTAGGCTCTAGAAGTAAATTCCCTTGTCTATTTTCTCTTGTTTTATGAATTCAATTATTTCTTATCTTATTATATACATAGAATGGTAGTAGCTTTGTTGAGGAAGGTTGATCTGTTACACATATTGTATTTTCAATAATTCATACGAAGATAAGAATTTAAATAAACAAAATATAATTTAAAAATAACTATCCACTGCATTACTATTGCTTATCAACTAACTACTTACTATTATAATCGTATTGTGATTTGGTGAGCAACATCAAACAGCACTGAACAAACATTTAGAAGTAGGGGTGTTAACGGGCCGGGCTGAACTTGTGATTAAATGTGTCGGGCTTACCAAGGCTGTTACCTGTGATTAAATGTGTCGGTCTTATCAAGCATGTTACCTGTTACGAATATAATTATTGGCGTGTGGAAAATAAAAGCCTGAATTGGCCTGTTGGCCTGTTAGAAAAAAACAAGACAATAAAAATTTATCCAAACAAAATATACAATCAACAACACTAGTAATTCCATAAATATTCATAAATTCAATGTATATCGAAACAACATAATATAGAACAATATCATTCAAAAAGTCTGTTTAACTAATACAATAGAGATGAAATTGATTGAGAGGAGAGAGAAAGCTATTACAAATAATATAAAAAATATAAATAAAAATAAAAATTAATATACTAGGTCAGCCTGAGAGGCTCCAAAGCCGAGCTTTTGAATTGGAGCCTGAAACCTTTTTACTAAACGAGCTTTTATACAAGTTCAAGCCTGATTTCAACAACCAATATTAGGCACGTAAGTCTGAGCCTTCACGAGCCGAGCCAAAGGCCTTGGCTCGTTTATCACCCCTATTCAGAAGTAGCAAGTATTGTTTCCAGGGTCTAAGGGGTATTTTAGGTTTCAGCTATTCAATAAGACAATAAAGAATATTTCATCCGGGATGAATTTTGCCCTTGTGTCTTCCTTGTTTGCCCAGTTTTTTTATTGGATGCATTGTTTTATTGTTGGTTTTGTCTCAAATATAATTCTTTGAAGGCTTTAATATTTCTACAGTAAATGTAGATAACTTATGTATATTTACTCCCACAACGATATATCGTTTTGGGTTAAAAAATTATAATAAGAAAGACTATTATAACTCTGAAATAAATTATAATTACAAAAATATCTTAATTTTCGCCCCAAAACGATGTCGTTATGGGCTTAATGTAGATAAATTATCTAAACAGAAAAAATGAACTATTCTTTGAAAGGAAATAAATGTAGGATACTGTTTTATTTTTTATTTTTATTTTTTTCTCGACAAAGAGTGTGTTGGCGTGGTTACTGGTCACACAAGTTTTTGTTGGATATAAATACTTTAGGAGAGAATTGTTTGGGTTATGAATCTTTCAAGGATTTGGTAGAGATGTATAGATAGTGTTAAGGTACTCCTAGGATAAAGAAGATTGAGAGTTCCCACTAACTTTCTCCTATAATCTTGTTATAAGCGGGGATTTGTTCTCTTCTTAGGCATGTTGGACTATTGGACTAGTCCAATGATATAGAGATATGACTCTTGTTATAAATATCTCTATATGCAGTTCTATACAGAGATACGGCCAGATACAAGTGTCCAAAAAGTGGATAGTGATAGAGGTATGGATTGCTCTTGATTTTCACCCTTGAGCCTTTCATCAGACTTCTTGCCCCACAACAATGATCTTCTGAATAATATTACTAATGAAATGGCTAATATAATATTCTAGGTCGTAGTACAATTAGTACCAGTCTTATCTGATAACATAATATGACTCCCAAATAATAAGAATCCTAATATGCCATCAATTGAGTTAGGAGCTTCTGTTGCTGCTTTTGTAGATTAGTCTTGTACAATTTTGATGGCTGAGCTCTGGGTGTCCGAAGGTGTCTATCCTTACAACCTGTTAATGGGAAGTAAGGTTTCAACAAATTTTACAGAAATGGTAGTACTTGATCGTCTAGCTACTTGTTCTCGGTAGGTTTTCATATATTCATAGTCCTCCTGATTTTCTTTCTTTAATTTTGCGTGACTGTAACTCCACCTGTGTATCTTTACATGGCTTGAAGGTAAGGAGGAGGATTTAGTCAGGCATAACATTGTATACAAATGAACTTTAGATTAGCAGTGATCTATTACAGTCTTGGTGGTTTAGGTATGAAAATTTGAAATAATGAACTGGAAACAAAAATTAACATCCCAGAAATATGGATTGATAAGTAACTGATATCAGGATTACCTTTTTTTTGTTGTGATGGAATTGGAGGCCTGCGCTTGTAGCCAAAGATATTCTGTCGTGTAGAATCGATGCTTAATCGTAACACTTGAATTGGGATCGGGAGTTGGGGTATATATGTAAGAGGCGGGTCATATGTTCTATGATGTTTACTTCATGTATTCTCTTCTTGAACCATAAGCCTTTCGTGCTTTTGCCCTGCATTTTCTTCTATTTGTTGTCATACAAAAAATACGACCCAGAGAAATGGTTTGAGAGTTGTTGGATCGTTTGACGATTGGTGGCACTCATATAATACTGATGGGTCATGTTATTGGTGTGGTTTGGTGAACTGTTGGGGTATGACACCTTTATGGGATTTAGAGGCGGGCCCAATGGATAGGCCTGTGTGTGACTGGTCCAGAACATTTGCCTTATTTAGACCTGGTGGTTACTGAATGATTTCCATTCAACTGCGGTTACAGCTCCATATTGTTGGATTTATCAAGCCTATGTATTTTTGTTCATTTCAATGTATTATAATATTTAGAGATATTCAAGGAAATCTGCCGTTGCTTTAGAATGTGAGGGTTATTGTTATCGAAAATTTTATAGAATCAAAGTTATTTTCATTATTGAAGAGACCTCTACAGATGAGGACAAAAACCTGTTTACATAATTCAAATATTGTCTTATCTTTTTCCCTAATAATTGTTAATGTTTTTTAGTATAATATTATTTTGAAGAAAAGAAATAACCGCGACCGTGAAATCATCCAAGCATGTCATTGGCTTGTGGTCGTTTGCTTTCAATGAAAATTTTTAATCTGGTTGAGTGGGTAAAACTGTCCTTTCATCTGACAGAAGGCAAATCGGTTTCTAGGCGCTTCTGCTTGTGGTTTATGGTTTCAAATTGATATCCATTCCTGACTATATGACAATAATAAGCTGTAATAGTTGAAGGACTAATTTTAATTGATATTGTTATACTAATTGTTCTGGGAGGTCCAATGCATCAGTTCAATAAGGTAGATTCAGTCTAGCCCTGAAAATTCAAGTCAATTCAATCCTAAATCCATTATCTTGCAGCCTGCAAAGTACACTAACCTTGCAATGTAAAACACCAAAACGTCTTACGTTACGGACTTCCTCCCCCTTTTGTCTCTACAAACATTCAATATATCATTTCTTTGACTTTTTCCATGTATGGTAGCCGCTGTAAGTAGGAGTGTAATTGAGTCGGACGGCATACAGACGGCTTCACCTATATCAGGTCAAGTTCGGGCTATTATATATAATCAAATAGAACAGGCTCAGATTTTAAAAAAAACATATTTAGAAAGTAGGTTACATGATTTTTTTTACATGCCGGTCCTATAAGCCTACAAGTTGGCCTATATAACATTATTTATTTTAAATAAAATAATATTATTCACAATAATACAAAATAGTGATAGCTCAGTTGGTTTATGTGAACTGAGTAGGTGGTGGAAGGACCTAGGTTCAATCCCCACCAATACTACATTTGGGAGGAGAATAAGATCTGTACCAATTTCTACGGTAGCATCAGAATCAACATTTAGTGCTCGAGGAAGAGTTATTGATGCTTATCAAAGAGTTATTGATACTTATCGTTCTAACTTGGCTGAAGAAACCATCCAAACTTTAATATATGGTAGAGATTGGCTACGTAATAAGTATGGCTTGAAGAAAAAATAAAAGACATAAATTTGATCAATTGAAATTATTTATAATTTAATCATATTTGATTAAATTTTAATAGAAATATGATTTTATTTCTTATGTAGGAGGAATCAACATCTCAGCATGTGAGATTGTCTATATGAATATATTAAAAGGTTTTTTGTTTCTTAATCTTATTTTTTCTACATTTATAAATTATTTGCCAGCTTATGTAATCTTGGAATTGTATTTGCAGGGGAGAGAAGATGATGAGAAGTTTTTGGCCACTACAAGCATCATGATGTGTTTGTTGGATTCATGTAGTTATTTTAATTTACATAGTATGGATTGATTTGTTGGATCTGATGAAATATATGTTATTTAGTTTGAACATTTTGCTTCTGAAAGTGATTTAAATGCAAATTGTGATGAGTTGATATTGTGATTCATGGTTCAGTTTGGACGTTGAAATTGTGATTTTTGTTTTAACACTAAATTTTGAGTGTTTTGTGAAGTTGATTCATGATTCTACTTGAAAGTTAAAAATTAACAGGCCAACGGGACAAGATAGACCATTTATTATTTTATAAATGGGTCAAGTCAGACTAACAGATAAACTCGTACTATGATATCGAGCCATGCCAAATTGAAACTTTTGGTTTCGGGACAAAGCTCGACCCAGCCCAGCCCACTTTCACCCTTAACTGTCAGCATAACAACAGCTGCAAGAGGCCCAGCCACAGCGGTGTCAGACTAGTTATGCTTTCTCACCATAACAGTTGACTTAGCACATCCTCCCACCACATTAAAACCTATATATACCTCAATCCTCTCCACAGAAAAGGTAAATCTTTTATGAGCCGTTACTCTGCCAACACAGAAAGTCAGCATAGTCTTTGCATGTCACCCATCCCTCGTATTATACACACATTGTATTGGGGCCGCCTTCTGTAGTATTGGTCTTCACCGTTGCTGTACTAGGTACCCCTACAACAATCACAACACCCCATCTGGGGTCACATATTGGACTTTCTAATAAGCCAACAATTCATTAATATAGAATAAAAAAAGGGAAAGTAAGAAATTTTATATGCATAAGATGATAAAGGTCTAACCGATACTATTATTAGTTAAAATAAATAATTATTTATAAATAATAAATTTAAATTTATAAGTAACTATTCATATAGATGGATATTCTTTTAAAATTATTTTTTATTTC